GGCAAGGTCCAGCTCCAAGTATCCACACCCAGGCTGCTCTCTGTGACCCCACCGGAACCAAGAGAGAGCGAGCCTGTCCGGGACCCTAGACCAAATACCACATGCTCATGTATGAACCGTGACCATGCCCAAACCGGCATGGTCAGCGCCATAGGTGTGGTTGGATCTCTCATTACAGATCTCCATGACTTTGAGGCCATTCTGTTCTATGTATCAAGTTCTAGGCTAGCAAAAGCTACACAATGAGACCATAAAAAGGGGGGTACCCAAAAACTCATGAAAAAAACAGCATAAAGAACAGTCTGCCAGCTGGGCAGTGATGGCGCATGCCTTTAATCCCAGCACTTCGGAGGCAGAGGCAGGAGGATCTCTGTGAGTTCAAGGCCAGCCTGGTCTACAGAAAAATAGAAAAAAAATAGTTTGCCAGACTAAAGTAAAAAATATTGGGCTTCATGGCTGTATCTGTAGCCAGCTACTGATGACTGTTTCCCCTATTAGAGAGTTAGTCTTAAAGCAGGAAAGATTACTGAATATTTGGGCTTATGCATGATTTTAAATGCAGTCTAAAATGTCTCAATATATTTAATGTCTTTGTATTCTCTTCTTACTTGGCAATATACCTTCAGAAGTGAGTCAGTGGGCCATGTGTCTTGTTTGTTCAAGTTTTTCCTGTGTTTACCACACTTTTTTACCACAACAACAACAACACACACACACACACACACACACATAGGTACAAACACTCACTCACACACACACACTTTAGTCCCACATTTAACTCTCTTCTATCAGTCACTGTAACAATGAAATTTTCCCTTCCTGAAATTGAATGAAAAAAATCAGAGGTTTGACAACTATCATTCCATGTTTATTTAAGAAGCCCACTCAGGACTTCAACCTAGGGAGAATTAATAGGTATCAACCTTTCCATTTGGTAGAGACTGTCCTCCCTGTTTCCTGTTTTCTCTTGTCATCCTGTTTGGCTGTTTCAGGAGTGTCCTCTGTGGCTATGCTGACACCAAGGACCTTAAAATAGAAAAAGGACACTGAACCAAACACTGTGAGGTTGTGGAAGTCATTCAAGACACAACGAACAAACAGCACATTCATACTACCATCCTGCACCACTCACCACAAGAGCCATAAGGGATAGTTAGGACATGACACTCTCTGCTTAAGGAAAGAAATCAAAACTGTATCCCAACAACAACTCAGAGAAGGCTTTTGGTTTTGCTCTCTCTTTTGATTTTTCAAGACAGGGTTTCTCTGTGGCTTTGGAGGCTGTCCTGGAACTCGCTCTGTAGACCAGGCTGGCATTGAACTCACAGAGATCCGTCTGCCTCTGTCTCCCGAGTGCTAAGATTAAAGGTGTGAGCCATCAAAACCCGGCTGCTTAGGTCTCTTAAACAATCAAATTTTGTTTCCTTTTTTGAATTATTAAATTCATTTTTATTTCAGAAAACACTCAAAAGTTTAAAGAAAAGGGCATGGGTAGTTGCTAATTATTTCTATCAGAGAAATAACTTTTAACATTTTGTATAGAATCTTCCGGATTTTGTTCCTCAAAGACTTCGCACATAATTGTAAAAGACAAGTCATTTTGTCCTAAAGGTCTTTGCCCCTGATTTCTGTCTCCCGCCCCACACCCCGTTTCTCTCTGGCATCTGTGTTTTCACCTCTGCAATGTTTTGCTTATTTCCCTTGAATTGTAAACAATGTTATATAAAGGAAACTGGGGGTACTTGACTCTCCTCATAAACTTCCTTCACATGGTTGTCCTTCAGCAGCCTTCTCCTCCCCCTTTCTTTTTTTCTTTTTCTTTTTCTTTTTCTTTTCTTTTTTCTTTTTTTTTTTTTTTGGTTTTTACGAGACAGGGTTTCTCTGTATTGTTTTGGAGGCTGTCGGTCCAGCCCAGCCTCGAACTCACAGAAATCTGCCTGCCTCTGCCTCCCAAGTGCTGGGATTAAAGGCGTGCGCCACCACCACCACCAGGCTCTCCTCCCCCTTTCACATCTCAGCTTCCCTAAGGGACAATGCATCTCCCACACCTTCACTCCCCATGGCAGTGTCCATCATCCATCTCCCCTCCCCATGACAGTGTCCATCATCCATCTCCACTCCCCATGACAGTGTCCATCATCCATGTCCATCCCCATGACAGTGTCCATCATCCGTGTCCACTCCCCATGACAGTGTCCATCATCCATCCTCACTCCCCATGACAGTGTCCATCATCCATGTCCACTCCCCATGACAGTGTCCATCATCCATGTCCATCCCCATGACAGTGTCCATCATCTGTGCCCACTCCCATGACAGTGTCCATCATCCATCCTCACTCCCCATGACAGTGTCCATCATTCCATCCTCACTCCCCATGGCAGTGTCCATCACCACATCTCCACTCCCCATGACAGTGTCCATCATCCATGTCCATCCCCATGACAGTGTCCATCATCCATCCTCACTCCCCATGACAGTGTCCATCACCACATCTCCACTCCCCATGACAGTGTCCATCATCCATCTCCACTCCCCATGGCAGTGTCCATCATTCATCTCCACTCCCCATGACAGTGTCCATCATCCATCTCCATCCCCATGACAGTGTCCATCATCCATCTTCACTCCCCATGACAGTGTCCATCATCTATGTCCACTCCCCATGGCAGTGTCCATCATCCATCTCCATCCCCATGACAGTGTCCATCATCCATCCTCCCTCCCCATGACAGTGTCCATCATCCATGTCCACTCCCCATGACAGTGTCCATCATCCATGTCCATCCCCATGACAGTGTCCATCATCCATCCTCACTCCCCATGACAGTGTCCATCATCCATCTCCACTCCCCATGACAGTGTCCATCATCCATCTCCCCTCTCCATGACAGTGTCCATCATCCATCCTCACTCCCCATGACAGTGTCCATCATCCATCTCCACTCCCCATGGCCAGTGCCCATCATCACATCTGGCTTCCATCTTTGCTTCCTGTTCATTGGTGACTTCTGACACCTCACTCAAGGAAATGCAGTTCACACCCTCACCTCCTTAGCACTTGGCACGCTCCACTTATTCTCCCTCCCACCCTTTAATGTTCCCTCTACTTTTGCTTGTTTTTAAAGTAAAGCTGTCCTCTAGGCTTCTGAGCGGAGTCCTCATTTCTTCTGTTTCATGAGCTCACCCCTGCCATTTTCTTATCCACCCACCTGTATGTGTAGCCCTCTCTCACTTCTTAGATATGGATGCACGTGTCCAAATGGTCAACCAGATGTTTTGACTTGGCAGAACTTTCCAAAGGCACCACAAATCCATCAGAAACATTGTGTGTGCTGTGTTCCTTACCCTTTCTGGTTGTTAGTCAATCCCTGATTATGGTGGGTGTAGAAGGACGAAGAGTAAAGAACTCTGTAAGTTAGTGTGGATCATTCCTTCTAGTTTAACAGTGAAGAGAAAGGAGAAAAATGGATTTGAGGAAACAACTTTCTAAGGAAGAGAAAACCTAAGCAATTCTGTGGGCAGTTGGAAGAATGGTGGTGGAGAAGAGATTTAAAAAGGAAGACAGGAATTAATTCCAGACAGCTCTGAGGCTGAGAGTAAAATGGGAATGGGAAAATCTTAGCTCCCTGCCACTATATTGTTAATTCTCTGTATGCCTTTGCTTTGATTAATTTGTGCCTATTATATATCACGAAGCAGTAACTAGAACCATTTTGAAGTACTTATGTGAAATATTTAAACTTTACATTCATTTTGACACCTATAGGTAGGCAAACACTACAACTGGGGACAATTTATCCAATAAAATAGACCAAGCATCATTTCTTTTCCTTTTCAAAATTTCCTATGTGAGTTCCAGTTTTCATAAATATGAATAATACTTTTAATTCAATCCACAAAAAACTATTATCTTCAATTGAAACTCCTTTTTAACATTTTTGTACTGGGGGGTTGAACCTAGGGCCTCATGTATGCTCAGTAAGTGTTCTACCATCAAGCTACATCCCCATCCTGAAGACTTATTATTATTATTATTATTATTATTTCATATTCTGAAACAAGTTCCTTTACTTGTGGACTCTCTATGGCTTCGCCTTCTGTAGATATTGTTGTAGTTTTGCCCAAGCGTCATGATTTATTTAATTCAAGTGAAGAAATCCATTTTTCAATTCTACTTCTGAGGGAGGAAGGAAGGAAGGAAGGAAGGAAGGAAGGAAGGGAGGGAGGGAGGGAGGGAGGGAGGGAGGGAAGGAAGGAAGGAAGGAGAGGAGGGGAGGGAGGGAGGGAAGGAAGGAGGGAGGGAGGAAGAGGAGAGGAGAGGAGAGGAGAGGAGAGGAGAGGAGAGGAGAGGAGAGGAGAGGAGAGGAGAGGAGAGGAGAGGAGAGGAGAGGAGGGAGGATGGAGGCACAGAGAGGCAATGTGCAGGGTTGAGGAGAGGGTGGAGTCTGAGTAGGGCAGAGCTGGGTTGCCAGGTAGGCCTCTGGTTCTTAAGGAACCACAGATGTGACCCGGTTGGATAGCATCCTGAAAGGTACCAGCATGAACAAAGAACCAGCCAATCTTGTTTCAGGTTAGTCAGATAGAATTCAGAATGATGTCACTCGGAATGGTGGGGGAAGATAAAAGACACTGTTTGGAGTTTCAGACATGACAGCCAGCCTGGGCTCAAGGCGTCTCACAGGCAGGGAGACCCTATCAGCAAGCCGGACTCTCGTTTCACCTCTTATTTCTCTGCTCTGAGTCCTTCCACCCTTGTAGCTCCCTGGCACTAAGCCTTCTTCCTGGGATGCAGTTATTAAGAGTGCACAGAAGTGACCACAAGCAGCCGGTCTGAGAAGTGGGGCTGTGAGGGGCTCATTTCTCTGCCTCAGTTGAAACCCTCAGCTTCAGCATCTTGCCAGAGCTGTGGGTGGAGCACAGGAAGCCATTACCCTGTGGCTTCTCCTCCCACATAAGCCCCGCCCCTTCACACTTGGACAGTGGGCAGATTAGCTTTTTCCTCCTCCTAGTTCACGCCTCTGGCTGATGTGCAAGGTTTTGCAGAGGCCAGGGACTTGTTTTCTGGGCTTGGCAAAAGTACATAGGAAGAATCCAGGGCTTCCCGGCTGGGAGGAGGGAGGAGAGCTGAAGATCCCTGCCTTTGGCTCAGCTAAGCAAAGTGGGCAGCTCAGTGCTTGAAAGAGGATTGTGCTCGCACTAGATATCAGTAAGTGGGTGACCGTGTGAATGCCCCTGGGTCATGGGGTAGACTTGAAAATGATGCTTGATTCTAGGGGAAAGCTGCAAGGCTGCTGTCTCTGTGTGCTTTCTGTGTCGCAGGCAGACTAGAGGCTTAAGCACAAGAATAACTCCAAATGCCTCCTCCCCATCTTAGAAAATGGCAACTTCTACTTGAGAGTAGTTATGGCCGTACTCTCCTTTCCTGAACCCTCTTCCTAGGAAAGTGTGCTACTAAATTAGACAGGGTTGGGAGTAAGTGGGAAAAGTGAAATGTAATATTAACAGAAATTGCAATCTCTAATTATGTTCTGTATATGCTGGCATTGTTGTATGTTTCAGTAGAAATTGTCAGCAAAGTCTGAGACAGGGGTTTAAATGGGGAAATTAGAGTTTGTATGACCAAGAGGCTGAGTAGTCCATATGTAGGGGATTAAATACAAAATGTATGTAATAAATAATAAATAGGTTTTTAAAAATCATTAAAGGGGAGCAGCAGCCAAGAAGCATAAAAGTGCATGATAAAAATTAGGAAAAGAAAATCTCACATCCATTGCTTTTTGCAGTATCCAAAAATTACAGGATGCTTACAAAGTCAGGGCAGTGATGCAGGAATACTTCAATTATTGTTGTACATTATTAATACTGTTGCCGGGCAAGATCTGTGGTTCTCTGGTCAGCAAGTTCTGGCAATGAAGCCACTGGCGCTGATGCAAAGAATTCTGGGATGTCTGACAATGAAATGGATGGAAGGACTCACATTCCATCTCTACTTAATGCCCTTTTGTCCAGAAATCGGGTCATGCAAATGAACTACTTGGTACGTATACAGATCAATATTGGGAAAGGCATTTCTGAGGGCTGTGTGGCAGAAGGACTCTAGATAATGTCTTAGAGCAAACACTGGGCTGAGAGGACCCGGAAGCCAGGAGACAGGAAGTCAGCTTGGCTCAAACCACATTTGTTCATTTTGTTTTCCATCCATCTTGAAATGGAGCCGCAGACGAAGATAAGAATGATTTCCGAGAGGAACGCTGGGACCGTTTCTTCTGTCCTAAGTTTATTGATGTATGGATGAAGTTGGGGGACTTTATTTATGCATTTCAATACTTAAAGTAACACAAAATAAGAGCTGTATTTGTGGAGAGGGAGAAATGGGAGAATTCATATTTTGAAAGTTGTAAAGAGGAGAAAAAGACTATGTTCTGCAGCATAAAGAAGTCTGTCATAGCCACTGATATGCAGGACCAGTGCTAATATGACATCATAGACTGGTTTTAGAAACCTAATTCTCTTAATTTTCCTTTGTGTGCATAGCATCCAAAGCAAGGTAGTTTTTGTTTGGTAGTATTCTGTTTTGTTTTCTACTTTGGATAACAGAATGACCATAATTACCTTATCTGTATTTGTCATTGGTGAAGGAGTCCCATTATACTTCCATATTCCCACAGGGGAGAAAAGAAAACTAAATGTGTCACCATTTTTCCTGCAACACAGCTGTGAGATGATTGTTATGATCCAACCTTAGAATTTGTATATATAAATTTTGCTGTAGGGAAGATGGGGAAGGAGTGGCTAATAGAACCAGTAACAACAATAAAATGGTACTAAATCGTTCTTGTAGACATTTCTGTACTCTCCAACTTCATAAACTACCTAAATTTGAAACTTACATTATCTGTTAAAATTACTTTTTATTTTCAATGTTAGTATTCATGTGATTTATTGAGATATTTAAAATCTGAGGGTTTATTGCCTGAGTTATATACTTCTCTTATTCTTAAAATATATAAGGCATTAAAATATAACATGTGATAGTTGACATTTTAAGAATAGGATAATCCTAAATGAAGTTTCTGTTCTTGAGAAAAATGTGCTAAGAGTCTTCAAAGAACTGCTTGTTTATCTCAGAATGTGAGAGAATCTTTGCTGAAACTATAGGATAAAGCAGAATATTGAGAAAGGACTGAAGGCATACTTTGTATGCAAGAGGATAAGCAGAGTATTTGCATAGTATAAATAAGATGGTGATTTGCTACACATGAGAGAATGATGCACTGTGACTAGTGAAAGGGTTAAATAAAGAGTTTTGAATTTAAGAATGATTAAGTAGGAATTAAGACTTTTAATGAAAAGAAACTAAATTATATTTAAAATTGTTCTTCCACAAGAAAAGTAAAGAACAAGGCTATGGAAAGCTAAGCAGTGATGAAGACCTCGAAATAATTGTTGATCAGAAGCAGGTAAGTGAATACCCCATATGTTTCCTGTTGCCAGTAGACTTTGACCTAGTAGTAGTCCTTTGGGTTCAGAGCCCTTCCCGACAGCTTTTGTAGCCTGTCTAACTAAAGCTGTTATTAGTAGAGATTTGGGTAGCATCAAGTGTCCCTCATCTCTGTCCCACTGATTTCTGCGTGATGCCAGCATGTGTTTGCGTTGTGAAAATAAATAATAAAGCACGAAGCATGGCTGAAGGGAGAGAACTGCGCAGACCCAATATACTGAGTCAAAATAACATAATTTGAGAAAAAAAGGTTTAAGCAAGAGCTAGGAATCATATGTTCTTGAAAATGAGAAACACTACCATTGCTGTGCCTTGTAAAACAAAGTGTGATTGGGGGTAGAGTAATAAGCAGTGTGAAATTTTGAGATATTTAAACTTAGATCTTGACCAGTTTAGCTTCTTTTTGTCTGTGGTGTCGAGGTGATTTGAAATGAAGAGATTGCTGTATAGTCAGATATGCCGCCCATAATTTGAGAAGCCTCTAGGTTGGATGTTATACTGGTCCATAAGGTGCAATGAAAACAGCTTAACAGAGCATGAACAATGACACAGCAGGGAGTGGACAGTGTCCAGCCAGAACACTGACTTGGCATTAGCCCTTAACATCTTTGTTAATTATCAAGAAGACAAGATAACTGCCGGTCTACTTAACATACATGTGGCATTGTCTCTGAGGGTGGTGTCAACAGAGTGGTAATTAAAAAGTCTGAGTTAATGAGGACATTAGAAAGTAGCCACTGACTTACAGAACAGCTGCTGAGTTTGAACAACTTTCTCATCATGTAGTTGGTCCTACTTCGTGGTGATTACACTAAGGGAGTCAGTGTGTGTGTGTGTGTTTGTGTGTGTGTGTGTGTGTGTGTGTGTGTGAAAATGGGGAATGGCTACCAAGAGGTAGCAATGAGAAATCCCTAGGTTAAGTGGTGCTCGTTAGAATGGTTGGGGTATGATTGCTGGAAGATCCTGGCCTCGCAAAGCATTTCCATGAAAATTCATGGTATACAGGTCACCACCCCTGTGCTTTGTGCCCCACTGTCACTCTGCTGCCCCAGAGTACAGCAGCACAGGGGTTTGAGGGTCTGGTCTACTCTCACTCACTGCCAGATTGTCAATTTGCCTACTAAGATATGTGGAGCCGCAGGTTGCGCCTCTGTTATTTTAATTATTGCAGATTAATCACTTGGGACATGCACTCTAGACCTCCCATGGACTGTGATTACCATTAAGGACTTGACCTACCTAACAGACTAGTAAAGGATGAGTCAATACACCATGAGAAACACACACGCACGCACACACACACACACACACACACACACCTATCAAAATGAAGTTAGTCTTTATTGCTTGTTTAGTCATATAGAAATAAACCCTTACTTATTTTACTTTGTTATTATCTTCCTCCTCAAAGCTTTTAGTTTCTTCCTTTTAATTTTGTGTTTTAACCAACTGCTGTCATTCAGAAAACTCCAGAATTATTTGGTTTTGTATTTCTGATGAGGAGTTCAAGGAAGTTAGTCTTCATATTCCCATTCTGACTTTCCACAAATTTATATTGTTGTAACCAAATATTTGCAGTGCAGTCACACAAGTTGGAGTTAACCAGCACTACTGAGGTATTCCTGTTAAATCTTGTTTCAAAACGTGACAGATTTGAATACATCAGCTTAGGAGCTGGCTGCTGGCCATGAAAAGTCTGCCTCTGTTCTGGAGGTTTGGGAATTTTGAGTTTTGAGTAAATCCTAGGTTGAAGTCATGGCAATGTTCACACCCACTACTAAAATATCAAGGAAACCACTGTAATTATTATTTATAAAACCCCAAGAAAACTATCCCTAAGATTAGAAGACAAACAATTAAGCATGTATGTGGGTGCAAGCATGTGTTAAATGCTCCAGAAACACAATTGCTCATTCCACATATATAAGGAAATTACAAAAATATACATAATAAAATTTAAACCTTGTATCCCTATATACTGTTTTGCCAATAATCTTCACGTGCAATCTGTGTCTTCAAAAAAGATGGAGGAAATTTGTTTGTCAATCTTTGTGTAACTCCAAGTAGTTTTTCTAGTGAGTGATACCAAAAGAAAACCTAAGGAAGATAAGTAAAATAATTCTGTGATGGGCAGAAGTCAATAATCTTGTTAAATCTGTCACTCAGCAGCAGTCACTCTATAAGTGCTGTGCAAGCTATATGTCAGTTCATCAGTCAGGTGATCCACAAGGCTACTGCTTCTACACGGAGACCAATCTTGCTTATGTCAGCACATTAATAGCAGACACAGTGTGCAGGATGTGGGCTTGCCATCCAGGGCCACTGCTTTCAAAAAGGCAGAAGCTGATGCTGTGTCATTTTGAAGTAGAAAAACAGAGTAGATCTTGGAAATGTATAAGGTTTTTGCTTTGAAAGGCAATATTGTACTTCTGACTTTGTGAAAATTTCTTAGCAAATTTGATTCAGAATGCATATTCTAAAAGTCACTGAGGATTCTTAAACTAGTACCCTAACTAATAGACAATAAATGTTCATATATGTGTATACACACATTCACATACTTACTTAAATATGAATGTAATGGGAATCAGACTTCATATTTATACTTGATATCCCCAAAGGTTTTATGCTTCAAACAGAAAAGTAATGAAAATGAACATATCACAATAAAATCTGAATGACCTTAAATTCCAAACATTTACATTTGCCATAAACATAACTGTACTTAGTGAATGCTATATAAAATAAATTCTAAAAATGAATAAATTCTAAAAGAGAAATAATATATATACATATATATGTGTATATATTTATATCAATCAGTTTCATCATCAAAGTATTCTTTCTTCACTGGAGAAGACAAGGGTCTTGATTGTTAAATTAGTCTCAAGTAAACACAAATTATTTCCTGAAATCCCTGTCATTTCAGGAGTGATACTGGAAAAAATAGATGGGAAAGTACCTTCTGAGAACTTAAAGCCTTGACCACTTTGAATAAATAATGAATTTGTTCTATTTTAAATCGCTGTTTCAATTGGATTCAGCTTAACTCAAGGTTTCCCTATGTTGGGCTACAGAGCTGGTGTCTAAGATATTTCCAGATTACAAATAAACTTGAAGGAAATAACAAAGACAAACATAGTAAGTACAGAATTTTGTAATTTTATAAAGGATTCAAAGCTATAGGTTTGCACATTGCAATAAATTCATGTACACAATGCCTGAGTCTGGTTGATTCTGGAACTCAAAGGACGCTGGCCCTGTGTTTCTTGCTGTACCAAGTGAGGAAATGCTAAGTACCAGCCAGTTGCTAGGAAGCACACACAACAGGTCAGGGGAGCAGTCCTCAGCAGTCTGGGTACCTAGGGAGCTTCCTGGGCTCATCCCATTCATTGCTAACTTTGTAATGCGAGGTCGGGCCTGAGAGTAACATTTCTAATTCCTCCACTACTGCTGCTGCTTTCAGAACACACTCTAAGACCTAGGATCTGAGATAACAGCTATTGCAATTCTGAAAGAGGGAAAAGATATGGGGCAGGTATAAATCTGACATTCTTCAGGTGGTCCATTAGCTGGAAAAACCAGAATCCACAGATGCTCAATGAGGTGGTACTTGAAAAACAAATCACCATAGACACTCAGAACAGTGGTGCCTCAAAGACCCAAGCCTGCAGTTGGTTGAGTTCCCTGTGGTAATCCTTTTGGTCTTGAGCACAAGAACTCACATTTCTTGTTTGTAAAGTAGTGTCCTATTCTTCCCGTCTAAGGGTTTACTGGAGGCAAAATCTGTTAAAGGCTCCATAAGGCATAGACTGTGTGTGTTGTGTGCATGAGCTAGGCTGCCATGTACTTGCCTCCCCCTCACACACACACACACACACACACACACACACACACACACACACGCACACACACACACACACACACACACACACACACACACACACACACACACACACAATTATCAAGCCAGAACCTTGAGACCTAGGTGAGGAATGGACTTTCCCAGAGTCACTAGTTTGGTACCTAAAGCACTAAAAACCATAGACCCCTGGTGTGGTTCAAGCTCTGTGCCCTCTGCACCATTACTGGTTGCCCTATAAATTTGTTAAGAAATGATTTTGCCTTTGTGGTCTAGTTTTATAAAATCACCACCTGGAAGCTGTCACAGTTGACCACAGTCTATTATTCAGCACTCACTAGGATACATCTCCCACAAACACTTGGTAACTGTCTACTTTCCTCTTGGCCTCTAGGCATTCCAGAAAAGAAATGTTCCTCCAAACAAATATAAAAACCTAGGCAGAATGAGAACTGCTTGCTTTTTCTCCCGAACCTGCAAGGAAGGGCTCCAAGCACATGACAATCAAGACAACATACGTTTTTAACCTAGCCTGAAATTTTCCTGAATCTCTTTAAAACTTGTGAATGAATCCTGAGCAGGAAGCAATGAACACCCTAAGGATTCAGGCATTATGCTGGCCTGCCCATGTCACCTGGCAGAATGCACTCAGGCAGTGCCCTGGTCAGCCCAGGGTTCCATGAGTACTAGTCTGCACACAGGTGCAAAGGACCCCTTTAAAAGAAAGGCCCCACCCACTTATGCTCTCTTTCTGGCTCTTCTCTCTCTCTCTCCATTCTTTTCTCTTTCTGCTGATTTTCCAGGTCTCTTCCCACTCTCTGTTCCCTGCAGTTCCCCTGGGGCAGAGAGGATTTTTCCTGTCTCCATTTCTCTTCTGTCCTCTCTGTCTCTGTGTCTCTTTACCTCTTTTCTCTTTCCTTCCCCCTCCCTCCTCTTTCTAATAAAGCTTCTCACTTAAGCTCTCTCTGCCTGGCATATTTGTCACCCTTACTTGCCATGGAATCTGCCATGGTCCCCACCCAAGGTCTCCCTTCGGGCATTATCCTAACATACATCAGAACTATTTTTCTTAAGACACAGAAGAGACCGAGTAGAAT